AAAACATACCTTTCAATGGCGTTCCAATCTTCCAATTTTTTCGTATTTCCGGTGCTTAATCCCTTCAATTTTATTATTAAACCTTAAATAAATCTTTTATTTTCACATATTTTCCCTACGTATATTGTATATATATATATATATATATATATCTCGATTCTCTTATCTTCTACACCATTTGGAGCAATTTCTCAGCCCAAAAATAAACAATTGTAATGTCTTTTCTTCTCATCGTTCTCAAATTTCTTTGCGATGATGTGTGCTCCAGGGATGTGGAATCGCCCATCGGTCTTAAAAAGCCTTTCTCCTTTTTCTTCTAAGATCATTGCATCAGAACATTTATTTTCTTGTGGGCATTATAAATGGTACAGCGCCAACTAGTGAAAGAAAAAAAACGGTGTTCTTCAGGAGTGTAAGAAGTTGAGAAGAAATCACAGATGGGAAAGAAACCCTGCATAGTTATTGTGTTCTAGAGTTTGATTTGACTTTATTTTCTTTTCTTATTTTTTTTTCTCTCAATTGCAGCAAAAATTCGTGTTCGTGTGTTTTTTAGTTCATTTGTGTGATGTATTTCTTTTGCAGCATAATAATGTTTTTGCTGGTAAAATTCGTGTTCTTGTTATTGTGTTTTTTTTTTTCATCTTGTTTTTGGATGATGAATAAGATGGGAGCTTTTGATTAGCTTTTTTTTTGAATTTTTGATGGAGTTGCAGTGGGCTTAATGAGTTTAGTTTTGTTCTTGGTTGAGAAAGCTTTTTTTGCTATTGAAGAAGAAGAAGAAGTGGGTTTTTTTCTTGATAGTGATTGGTTGATTACTTTCACCATCATCTTCTGAATCTAACAACATTCTTAAATTTTTTGTGGCTGTTGTTGGTTTTGATTGGCAGAAGAAATGAATATTGAAGTGAAGAAAAGTAGCAAGATTAGATAGAGAAAAAATACCTTCTTTGGAGAGGAGGTACACAACTACAAGTGGAGCCATTTTTTTTTTATTCTTGAAAATGTGGTAATGAACATATGAAAATCCAATCTATGATGTTTGTTTGTATTTTTTGAAGATCTAAGAGATGCCCTTTCTATGAAATTTGTATGAGATTTTTTTGTATATCCATCGTATATAACATTTTGTGTGAGTTTTTTTAATGTGATTGTAGCTATAATTTTGTATTTGCAAACAAAGTCTATTATTTTTTGTGTTTGCAATATTTATCAACATCAAATATATTTGAAGGGCAACACAGTAATTTTGCCAATAAACACACATAAAATAGTTTGATCAAGAAAAGAAAACATGATATTGTTAGTGCATAGTTTATTAGTTTAAGTCCTATAACTCCAACCAAATGAGGTATTAATTATTGTGAATCAACAATTTAGTCCCAGTTAGGGATGGCAGCGGAGCGGGTACCCTCGAAAAAGTGCAATACCAGAACCATTACCATTTAATATAGCTCAAACCATGACCGTACCAAACCCTTTTAAAAAGTTGATGGAAATACCACAACCATTACCACGAATATACGGGTATCCACGGGTACCCATTTACCATTTAAATTACGGTAATAAAAAAATAATTTTAGATCCGATAACGTTTAAGTAACTCAGAAAAGAGGAAGAAAAAAAGAAAAGAAAAGAAAAAAGTAAATTATACAAATATATCCTCCCTAAATTATTTAATACTATATTTAAAATTTTGCCATTTTTTTTATTCATATTGTTGAAATAATATATATATATATATATATATATATATATATATATATATATATATATATATATATATATATATATATATATATATATATATATATATATATATATATATATATATATATATATATATATATATATATATATATATATATATATATATATATATATATATATATATATATATATATATATATATATATATATATATATATATATATATATATATATATATATATTCATTTATCAAACTATTAATTTCCGTCTTGTCTATTCTTATTTGCCTATTTCACTTTTTATTTTTCGAATCTCATTTCTCATGATTTATATTTATCATTTGTCGACCACCGCTAATTGTCTTGCATTTTGAATTTTACTTCTTATCGAAGTTAAATATAATTAATTGTAATTGTATTGTTCATGTTATATCACTTGTAGAGATTTTTAAAATATTGTATTTTAGTAAAGAGATTATTTCATAAAAATATACAAGCACAATGTTATGAAAGTTAAAAAATATTAAACTCTTTGTATGTTAGCGGGTCTAGCGGGTCTGGCGGGTCAGAACCGTTTAGTTAGGGTCTGGGTCTAAGCTAAAGCGGGTTGGGGCGGGACTTGGTTTTATATATTTTTCGTGGGTCGGGGCATGGATTTATATATTTTTCATGGGTCGGGTCTTGAGTTTAGACAAACCCGGTCCAGAACCGATCCATTGTCATCCTTATGTCAACCTCAAATATAATTATGGTTGACACTGATAGTATTGTTAACCACAAAATTATTAATTTTTTTAGCATCGTATTTTGGTTACTTTGTTGACCGGTCAGTATAATAACATTCCCGTATTACGCAATAATTTATTATATAACATAGCAATTTTGTTGTGTTAATATTACTGTGCTAGATAGTAATATAACAATATTACTGTCAATATTATTGTGTTAAACAGTATTATAGTTAATACTTAATATTAATGTCAAAACAATATTATTGTCTATATTATTGTGTTAAACAGTATTATAGTTAGTACTTAATATTAATGTCAACCACATAATATTATTATTTTTACTGGGGCATACTGGCGCTGACTGTCGGTAAGCGGCAGCGGCGGAAAAAAAAAACTATAAAAAAAAAATTCTTTTTACTAAACACTTTTAAACAGCTTATAAGTTCTTAAACATTTATATAATTAATCATAAAAATAAGATGCAACAAGTTATCAGGTCTAGAAACATCTTATCATACATAAAAGCTTATCAAGTATTTAAAATAAATTTAGTCAAACATCCTCTTACATGTTTCACAATAATCCACCTCACTAATAATTAGAGATGAACTTTTGCTTTTTAACCATATTGCTCTACCAATCAATTCTGTCTGATGAACCAAATTAATTCTTTATGGAAATATTTCTGACAAAAGCATATTTTACCATACCAAAATATTTTTCAAATTGAATGTTCTGGCAAGCAAATCTACCTTGAAAGTTAGGGGTGTATTTCTTTTACCCCATTGCCCTTCCAAATATGAATCGAGTTATTTTCTATGAAAATATATTTTACCGAATTGTGATCGTAGACAGGTAGAGTAACAGTAGTGTAATATTTGGTCGATAAACGGTTCTCAGTATCATCACCAGTACCGAAAATAGTATTAATTATGAAAAATAAATAGAAATTTATGTTAAAAATTAATTAATTTATGTAAATAATAAGATAGTTTGCAAAATAAATATTATCGCAAAATAATAAGATAGTTGTACATTGTGACAAAATCTATCTTGAATAATTTCATTAGTGATAATATAATTGATGTAAAGAATTTTTAAAGTTGTAATTGTATTCGGAAATATTTTATTTAGATCAGTTAATAACATATATTCAAAGTATTTATGCCTTAAATGCTAATTTATGCATTTTAAACATATCTATGCCTTGAATTACTTTTAAAATAGAATATTCAAATTTGATCCAAGTGATAGTCAACATAAATTAGTAATCACCGTTACTATTACAGTATTGTAATGAAATTAAATTTACGGTATAATGAATATTTTTTGGTAAGACTATAGTATGGATTAATACCAAACTGATCACAAAAGAAAAGACAAAAATCCATTTAAAAAAAAATTGAGGAATATGAAACTAAAAGATGGCGCAATCTTGTCTCGTTTGCCAATGAAGAATAATTAAGTGACCATAAAAATAGCTATAAGTAACAACAACAAAATATTAACATTTATAATATACATTTAGGCACATTTTGTTGGCAAGATAAGATTAGTCAAGATAAAATTAAATAGTTTAATAAAAATCCAATTATTTTATTAGAGCTTGCGACGTTCAACAAAAAAAAATGTATTAGAAGGCAAGATAAGCCAAGATAAGCAATGATTATATAATTTTGGCGGGTTGACCCGACAATTTATTGGAGATACCAAACATCAAATTAAGTCCAACTATTTAATTAATCTTGGCTTATTTTGACAACCTAAAGGGGTCTTAGTGACAAGTTTTGATATTGTCAACATTGGCTCTCACAAATACTTATAAATTTCTTGTAGAGATGGTGGGAAAATGATATTTTTATCTTGAGCCTGCATCTTGCCAAAATAATTAGCACAAACTACGGCAACCTTCTTAATTATGGTCAAATTATGATAACTCTGCCTCTGTTTGGGTAATACAATCACCCCCCTCAACTATGTATTATTATACAAAAAACTTCGCAAGAGGTAAAGTTAGAGATGTTAAATCTGTAAAATCGAACCGAAATTTCAGTACGCGAACATTTTATACTGTTTACCAAAATGAATATACAATTTTGTTCGGTTAATAACCGAGTTACATAAATTTTATATACATATATTTAAAATGAGAGGGGTGACTATAATTACCCAAAGAATACGGTTTTTTCATAATCTGACAATGCCTCAGGAGTGGCCGTAATTTGCCCAAATAATTGTAATGCGAGGGTGCCATATATATAAATGTTTTTTTTTTTTTAATTATTTTGTTGTGCGGATTTTTGTAAATTAGTGATACTCAGATGTGCAAAATTGTAACATAGTTTGGAAAGTGTCCACCTTATAGTAAGTATTTTGTAGTCGTTATCACAAATTAAATAGAATAGTGTGATGGAGAACAAAACACGAATTGGAATGTAAACATAATTTCACACATAGTTAAATGTAAGATTGCTCACATTATTATTTTATCGATCATAGAATTACAATAAAAAATGACTAATCCAAATTCATCTCCTTCTTGTACTATATTTATGCGATGCTGTCACGGATACTGGCAATCTCCATATGCTGCATCAGTGTATAAAATAAGTTAATTAATGGCAAGATACTAACAATTAGGACTGCACAACAATAAATAAAATGACAAATTAAATAATATTAGGATAATGAGTGAGAAAACTTACAAGGATTAGTTTCAGTAATGAAGCCAAGTCCTTCTTTGCAAAAGGCACCGGTTCTGTAAAATTTATCGAGGATCCAAGATCCGTGTGCCAGTAAAAGATTAGGTTCATAACACGGTCCACCAGGCAAGATCTGGCTGCAGTCGAATTCATGACACCCGTAGTCTAGAAATTCTTGCAACTTGTCGTGTGGTGCGCCTGTATCAGCCACACACCAGCCACGCAACTAGGGAGATTACATGAAAATTAACTTCAATTATTTTCATGCTTAAAATAATAACAAATAATAAATTAAAAAAAAAAATTGTCTAGAAATTTGTATTTTGAGAAGACAATATATATTGAATTGTTATGAATTAAAGTTAAAAGTTTACATACGTTCTTGCCACGTAGTGCAGGGTTTTCTTGGCCAAAGCATAGAGCAACGACCATTAGAAAACAAACAAGAAATATAGTGGGAGTGGTCTTCATAATGACTAACACTTTTTTTTTATTGGTTTATAAAATTGTATAATATAATAAAATCGTTTTGATGTCTATTTATACTTTCCATATAATACTGTAACAAATTAATTTCACGCTATTACGCTATAAATTGATATCAAATCAATCATCTTTAATGCAAAAACCTTTATTTTATCAATCAAACAAGAGATAGTCCGAGATTTGGTTCAATGCTTCGTTTTATCATACAAATATTCCATATATAAAATTAAATATCAGTTGCATGGAACGGAAATAAAATCATTTCTTATTATAATCTTGAAATGTGATTTTGACATTAGATATACATTTCATGAATAATTAGGATTGACAATTGACTTGGGCCTAACCGAAGCCCGATGGTTCGGCTCCATTGTTATATTTGAGTCGAGCATATTTCTAGTGATTCGGGCCTAGTTTGAGTTATTTTAATAAACTATATTTATTTATGAGCCGAGTTTAAGTTTATGGTTCAACACGAATATGACCAGACAAATTAAGTTAATAATAAAATATATAATATATTATTATTTGGGTGCAAATTTAGACCGAATAGCCTGTTTTAATAAGAAAATCGGATGTCATAGGATGATTGATACGTGGATAGTTTAAGTAAAAATATAATTAGGATTCTAATAATTTGGAAAAAAAAAGAAAAGAAAAAAAGAAAAGAAAAGAAAAAAGAATACCCAGCAGAACTTGTAATCCCTCTAACCCTAATTATAGTCAGCGTGATTTATTAAGAGTTAAGACTTAAGAGTGCCACTTGTCATAAAATTAGTGCAATCCAATTTATATAAAATATCGGCTGATTCGATCAAAATTTAATCTCTTATTATTTTAATGATATGGCTCAACATACAAGTTACAACCATATATTTTTATTATTTTGCTTTGCAAAAAAAGAAAAACAGTCAAAATAAATATGAATTAAGTTGTGGTGGTGGCAATAAGTAAAATATGAATCAATCTCAACATACCCACCCAAATCAATTGCTGAAATTTATCACCTATTTGAGAATATAAAACGTTTCCGATATTAAGGGATATTAAACTGTTTTTTTCACTTCTTTCAGTCTTATTTCTAAATTTTTCCAATAACTTGCAAAGATCGTTTAGGGCTTCTTCAGATTGGTTTCAATGGAGGTAAATCTTGTTTAACTCTCATATTTTATAAAAATATTTTTGTCCGCTACAGTTCTATAGTAATGAGGCTCAACATTCATGTTTTTTAAAGTAACGAGACAAGACTCCACGAACCAATACTAGACTACAGTGTCTCGGGTGCAGGTACGAACGACGATCATAAGTAATAGGCGGTGGGGAACGTATAAGCAAGAGGAAGAGAAAGCAAATAAAAGTGAAAAAAGAGGAAGGTGAGAACTGTATATAAGGGCAGATAGGCGGGAAATTGAAAGGCTCCCATCCCTGGCCATTGATTTGCGGACAAGGGACGAACACGATGAATACATGTGGACACTCGAGTGTCCAGAGAATTCGAATTAGGTCAGGTGGTCGCCGAAGAGAGGCTCTGATACCATATTGTATATTTTGCGAAAATATGTGAGCAAGATTAATACATAAATAATTGAGGAGCATGTGTCTCTTTCTTCTATCATTAGTAGAAAAATGACTATTTACTACGATTATTTTTGCGACGGTAAAAAGCTGTAACAAAAGATACCTTTTACCACGGGACAATCTTAAAGTCATAGTAAAATATTTGCCACAGCCATTTACCGAGCAAATGCATAGCAAAATCGTAACAAATGCATAGCAAAAGCCTTTTTTTTTTACTATGAATTTAGTATCTTTTACTACGGTTAATGGTGGCAGTAAAAAACTATTTTTCTACCTATTTTATTTTACTCTTGCTAAAATTTGTTAAACTACAAATACAATCCTACATCTATTTTATACTAATTTAGGCATGTGTAGTACATGTATTATATTAAATGAGATTCATCATGGATTATAGATAAACATGTATGTAAAGATTCATGTATATATTTGCTTATTCACGTCCTATCATATACATTATACATGCACGTGGATATTCTAGAAAGAGTATTATATTTCCAGAGATCAGTGTGTAGAAAATTTGTCACTGAAAACTGAAAAGAAGGACCACTTCGGATGATGAAGAAAAAAAAAAGAGAATGTGAGACAAAAGAGACGCATAATATTCAATGAAAATTTGGTAGACCGAAAACAAAAATAATTGATAAATATGAAATGATAATATTACCCATAATATAAGATACCTCTTTTATGGAAAGGATTTCAAGCTTGATTATTAATTATTAATTATACTGATCAGTGAAACCAGCTTTTGCCGAGTCGATTCGAGTTTTTGTTAAACCAGCTCATGAGCTCACGGGGTGGCTCGACTCATTTACACCTGTACATTAGATAATTTTATTTTCCCATGCTTTCTTTGTTGTACGAACAATGGCGAGTCCGCGAATTAATAATAATAATAATAATAATAATAATAATAATAATAATAATAATAATAATAATAATAATAATAATAATAATAATAATAATAATAATAATAATAATAATAATAATAATAATAATAATAATAATAATAATAATAATAATAAT